ACCTTTTCCACTCAGCCCCCCAGTCTTCTTCTCAAGACCCAACAGAGAGTATCCACTTCCAAGTTCATTCACAGGGCTTTTGACGGGCCTTAGGTGCCTTTGTTTTTATTCTTACCACATGGGCATTCCTATAGAGTAGCTCACATTGTGGCAGCTGGCTTTGTTCAGAGCAAACAAGCAAGTTAGGGGTCAGGAGAGAAGCCTAGAACGAGAAGCCAATCTCTTTGTTATCTAATCTGGGACATACACCACATTGTCTCTGCTGCATTCTATTTGCTAGTGGCCCCTAAATTCATCCTGCACTCAGGGGGCAAGAATTACACAAGGGGGTAAAAAATAGGAGGTAAGGATCATTGTGCCCAGCACATATAATCTATACAAAATATAAATATATGCCCTGGCCGGTTTGACTCAGTGGATAGAGCATGACTTGTGGACTGAAAGGTCACAGGTTCGATTTTGGTCAAGGGCGCATGCCTGGGTTGCGAGCTTGACCCTCAGTGGGGGGTGTGCAGGAGGCAGGCAATCAATGATTCTCTCTCATCATTGATATTTCTATCACTTTCTCCTTCTCCCTTCCTCTCTGAAATCAATAAAATATATTTTTTAAAAGCACTAATTTTTGCAGGTATAAGTTACATATATTTTATATGCACTGATTTTAATTACAGCCTTTGTGCTAAAATCCCTTTGTTAAAAAATAAATAAATAAATAAAATCCCGTTGTTCCTGGAATAACTTGCTCACTTCCTCTGACTAGTTCCCTTCCTTCTGTTCCCCTCCCATCACACTTCAATGCGTTGGCTAGTTGTTCCACTTGCTGTGCTCTCAAATTACTTTCTTCTTTAGACCTTAATCCTCTACTTCTTTGCATTTGACTCCATTTTTGAATGTTTCTGTCTCAAAATAGGAAGTCACTATTTCAAGTCTTCATCTCAACTCAATTCAAATGTTGAAATTTTGAGTTGTCAGGTACTGATCGTGCTGTCAGCTAGAGATGAGTAAAACTGAGCCTCTGCTATCAAGGAACTCTCAGTCTAACCCGAAATATGAATAAGTAAAATCTATATCATAAAAACCTAAGCAACTGTTACAGGGGGAATGACTGACCAAGGGGGGGCAGATGCTCGACTCATGAGCTGCCCCCTGGTGGTCAGTGTGCTCCCACAGGAGGAGCGCCGCTCAGCCAGAAGCCAGGCTCACGGCTGGCGAGCACAGCAGCAGTGGTGGGAGCAGTGAGTCCAGTGGTAAGGAGCCAGCAGGTAGGTGGTAAGAGCAAGGGGTCCCAGACTGCGAGAGGGACTCCCCACCCCAGTGCACGGTTTTTTGCACCAGGCCTCTAGTAAATAATAAATAAAGATGATGGTATAATCATAAAAACAAAGAGGTCCCTCCGTAGAGGGGATGGTTAATCCTTCAGAAGCAAGGAGGTCAGGAAAGGTTTCTGGGAAGAGGCAGGACTAACTAAGCTGGGTTGTCATGTACATAAGCATTTAGTGACCAGAGTTGGGAAAAGGATATCACAGAAAGTGTCGTGTTCAGAGGCAGGTCTGGGGTGCTAAGAAGCAGAAAGTTCTCCCTTGCCCAAGTTTTCTGAGGACATATGTTGGCTGCCTCTGAGTCCTGTGGTGAGTCCATCTTTTAGGTTTGGCTGTCTCTACTCTGTTGCTTCATTCCTCTGTGCACACTGTTTTCTCTTCCCTCCCTCTCTCTCCCCCACCTCATATAAACCCTCCTCCCTATTTTTCCTTCCTTTTATGGAATATTTTTGTGTGCCTCTTTGGGCCCTGGATTTAATTTAGTTGGATTGGACTGTAGTAATAACGTTTCTGTACCTTTGCCCAGATGCCTTCAACTAACTAATGGGTGTATTCTTGCAGGCCAATAAACAGATGAATAAATCCAGTGTGCTGTCTTGTATCTTTGCCTCCCTTCTCTTCCTTTGCACTTTGCTCCATCTTCCACATTGCTTGGAGACCTTTTTAGAAAACTAAAACTTTCCTAGGGTACCGCAAACATCAGGTTGCCTTCACGAAGTCACTTGTGCACCTGCCGCTCAATTCCATGGAGGACTTCCCATTAGAGGGACCCAGCTTGTGTCTAATGGGAGTTCTGCTGCCCCTAGGCCTCCTCCCCAGTGTCCGCGAACCTCGGAAAGTTATAGGTTCACATCTGTGAATGGCACCTGCTCATTTTTGACCACTGATGCTGATTATCATGTAACTCCATGTTAAACTGATAATGTGATAGAACAGAGGCCGACCAAATCACCTTGGGCAAAGTAAATCGGAGGTTCTTCGAACAGGGGGATACAAGCCTGGGCTCTAAAAATAAATGGGGAGCTGCCATGAAGGGTGGGGGGAAATTAACCAAACTACTTTAAAACCAACTGCACTTCTGCATGTTGATTAAGCCCAAGAATAGATGGTGGTTTCTGTTCTTCAGCCAGTTCTTGCCTTGCTTCGTCTCCTTTCCTTTTCTCCCTGTCTGCCTTCTTCTTCTGCGCTGCTCTAAACATTCTGTTCCATTTCCACTGACCTAACTTCAGGCTCCCTCCCAGGACCCCAGGAGAGTGCCCCCTCCTATTGCCTGGGGAGGCTTTCTTGCACTCCAGTCTCTAGCGAGGCCAGTACATTGAGGTCATTGCTCTCCCTGCCAAATGATTGGCCTGAGTTCAGTTTCTCCATCTGTCTGAGCTTCATGGAAAACATGATTGTTGCTCTAGGCTCTTTATTGTATGACCTGCTTCAGATTGTCTGCTTTGCATCTGCTTTTTTGTTTTTCCCCCCATCAGCACCCCTGCCTTTCGCCCCCTGACTCTCCCCAGACTAGAATCACATCTGTTTTCCAGCCTCTGCACTCTCACTGCAGAGCAGATGGAAGGAGAGCAAGTTCTGGGCCAAGCAGATGAGGACAGAGCTGGGTTTGTACTCAGATTTGTTCTAGGGACTCACCAGAATACATGTATCTCAAAAATGACACAGAGTTCCTTCAAAGGAGTCAGAGATGTTATTCACTTATTTCTCATATCCATCGCTCTCTCTTCCTTCTAGCTAGACAGCTAGTTATCTTTCTTCTTTCTTCCCTTACTCCATCCTCCCTTCCTTTGCCTTCCTTTCCTCTGGTCTGTCATTTGTTAATTCAATCTGCTCTGTGTCCATCTGTACTTTTCTCTAAGTCTGCTCATCAGAGTGATACACATAGGAGCTAACAGATGCCTTCACATTTGACAATTCTAGTGCACATGAGATTAACCACTCCTCCTTATTCCGTTTCTATTGATTCTCTCTAAAGTGGAGATATTTTATGGTCTAACCACTAGGGTTTCTATGAATAAGAGCAGATATAAAACGTTTTTAATAAAAATCCTGGATCTGAGAAAATGTCATCTGTGGAGAAGCATGGGACTTGGTTGGAATGTCTGTAGGAGGATTCTCAGAAAGGCCGGGGACTTCAGGGGGGGACCTCGCCGAAGGTGGCAGCCCCTATCTTGACTTTTCCAAACAAGTCCAACCCCCACACCCCCGAGGTACTTTGTTAAAATCTCTATGTTTAGTGTTTCAAGACCAGACCTTATAGAAGCATATACTTTCTCAAGGATACTTACCCTGCTGATTGTATCTAGGGGTTAATTTTAGTTCAAGCTGTTGTGATGATAAAAGCCCGAGCAGGCAGGCGCACAGGACTGCTTTTTACTCCTAAAGCAAAACAGTCCCCTAGCCCTCTCTTTCACAGAAACGTGTGCCAGAGTCATCTGGTCATCTGTCACTCAGGGTCTTCTGGTCAGCCCTGGCAGTGATCTACATGTTACAGATGTGAGAAAAAGCACTGGTGGAGAGTAAGTCAAGCAGAACCAACATAAACTTGGCCCTCAGTTTTCTTTGGGCTTCTGATGGCATTTTGTCCTTAGGATTCCAGACACCAAGATTCTTAGCATAGACTTAGAGAAAGCCAAAGACCAAATACAGCTGGCATCTCGTCCCACAGAACTGCTCCACATTCCAAAATGATTTAGATGGCACTGTATCCCTCAACTTTTTTTGAACCCTAAGACAGACAGTATAAGTATCCTTGAGAAAGCTCTTGGGCAAAGCTCATGTGGTGTCTGTTTTTGCTTGGATGTGGGAATAAATGGGATTTCTAGAGGAATAAAACAACAACAAGAAGAGTCTAAATGAGTGGGTCAAGAGAGAGGTACAGAAAGAAGATAAATTCAGGGATGCAAAGGAGTGTGTTGGTCTTGAAGAGATGCATGTCCAAAAAAGAACAAAAATGAGAAGGGAAGATGCAAAAAATGATTCAAACATGGAAGAGAGTCAGAGATAGGAACATTTTCTGACGATGTGCAGAAAAACATTCCAAGGATGAGGTAGAATCGATTAGGTAAGAAGGAACCCAGGGAATGGGGTGGAGGGTGCCAAGGCCAGATTGCGAGAGGGAAAATAGGCTCCTGGAAGAAAGGCACATGTGGGTTTGGGCCAGCCCTTCTAGGGAGCAGCAGCATCTATCACCCATGTGGTAATAACCTTTGGAATGAGGGTGTGAGTGACTACAAATTCCCATCCCCCTTCTCATCTCAACCTCATTGCCTCATTACTCTCCTCTAGCCTGCCTCTCTCTCTCTCTAGCTCTCCCTCATCTCATTGTTTCAGGAGGCCAAGTTTGAAGTCCTTCCCAGGGAGTGGCCCTGTTCATCTTATTCTCCAGCCAAAGTAGGAATAGCGTGAGAAGGAGAGAGACACAGTCAGCAGCCAAAGGACACTGTGGAAAGAGCAGAGGACCATAGACAGTGAGTTGTTTCATTGTATAAAACCCTAAGTGAGGGGGGAGGGGGAGATTGGAATGGGGGGTTGAGGACAAATATGTGATACCTTAATCACTAAAGAAATTAATTTAAAAAATAAAAAAATAAAACCCTAAATAAACAGGAGGAGTGTGTGTGTGTGTGTGTGTGTGTGTGTGTGTGTGTGTGCATGTATATACATTGAAGGGCTGGAGGGGAGCAACTGGGAATCTCATTGGACAACTTAAAATTGAGCAGACATCTCAATTAGCCACTAAATTCAAATGAAAGAAGACACAAGGTGAGCAGATGACATAATCAAGTCATAGATGCAGAAAGAGAAGGAGATCAGACCCTAAGGGTGAAAGAGACCACCGGGCAAGGAGAAAACATGGACCATTCAGCATGTGAAATTTCCTGTGACTTGGTAGGAAAGAGTAAGGAGAGTGAAAATAATGGTAAGTGACCAAAGAATAGAATTCGAATTGAGAAATAAATGTCGGGTGAAAAATACGAAGAGGGAAAGGGTTTGAGTGATATGGGGGACCAGGAAAGGTCCTGGGAAGACAGAGATGTGGGCCACAGACATCCTTCCCTGGAACTAAAATGCTGATGTGTCCCTGAGTGTCACAATCTCTACTCTCCCCACCATCCCTGTTAGATATGCTGCTATTTGGACCCAAGGTGCTGCTATTTCTCACTGCACTCATCATCCCCTCAGGTGAGTCCCTACCTTTATTCTTTTCTCCCTAAGATGCTAGCTTCCCAGCTCTACACGTGTCTGGAGGTGTGTTTTACAGAGTGAAATGGAAGGAGATTGGAGGGGAATTGGGAGAGAAATGCTTGCTCTTGAGTTCTAGAATTGGTATCAAAAAGAAAAACAAAATAGATTTGTGTGTTGTTGTGTTGTTGTTGTGTGTGTGTGTGTTTGTGTGTTATTTTTAAAGGCAGAGATATGGAGAGAGAGGACCTCAGACTTAGGAAAAGGTATCCTGAGAAGTTTTGAAATTAAGGTGAAATACAAACTAACACATATTAACCAAAAGAGACTCACACACATAAATACCCAAGTACACAAATATCAAGGGGAAAAGCAGCTCACACACACACACACACACACACACACACACACACACACACAAGTACAGACCACCTAATGATGAAGAGAACAAATTTAAACCCTATAGAAAAAACAGCAACACATACCAAACACTAGCACTAGCATATACACAAGTATATTCACTTGCACAGCAAAAATATGAGCCAAATCTATACACAAAGTAAAATGATCTTCACAGATTTCACAGAAGCTGGCTAGAAGTTTAATCATGGAAAATATACTTGGGTTTAAAAAGAAAATCCTACTCTTGTTTTTCTCATTCTGCCACATACGGACTGTGAGAAAATAATCTTTTTGACTTGTACCGTAGTGTAGCTAGTGGGATGGCTGTGGGCATAGAAGGACAGGACAGGATAGAATTGCTACTGGCTCTCTCAGTGAGACAGGTCCCCATTCCTTCTGGCTGGGAATGAGGGCAACAGGGCAAGCTGAGTCAGGGCATAACAGAGCAGGGGTTTGTTCTCAGAAATTTGTTGTCTTGCTTAAGCGTTTCCACATTTGTGTGTAGCACTACTGATCTGAGTAATTTTGTAATGAACCATATAAAAATAAAACACAGAACGATAAAGTAAAACTATTTCCCCATCATTTTCTGGTTCGTTTTATAAAAGCTTTCTGGGGCTCTAGCTGGTTTGGCTCAGTGAACAAAGTGTTGGCCTGCGGACTAAAGGGTCCTGGGTTCCGTTATGGCCAAGGGCACATGCCCTTGTTCAGAAATCAATTTTTTTAAAAAAATTTAAAAGCTTTTTTGGGGGGGTTTGGGCTGGAGTCACTCACATCCCTTTTCTCTTTCCTTTGATACAGACTGGACACCTCTAGGGGTCAGTGGTCAAGAAAGTAAGTGAACTTTTGAATCTGGGCTTTGCTAAGGTTATGTAAATGAATGGTCAGAATTAAAAAATCTGTAATACAACAGACATGTATTGCCACAATGTGGGAAATAGGATCTAATTCACCAGTTTCCCTAGTCCTATCATCCTATTCATAAAATCTTGTCTACCGAAACACTTTTCCCTGAATCTCCTCTTTACTCATCTCTTCCTTACACTCTCTTTTGTACATCTCTTATCTCACCCAGAAAATGCCCACTAATCCTAGCAGAAAGCTTTTTCCTATCCATGTGACAATGGAGAAACTAAAATGAAAAAGACAGGATTAGAAATTATCTCAGTACTACAGCCAAGTTGTGGCATAACTGAACAGAACTCAAAGGTTTTGGCTTCCAAAGTACCACTTCCTTCATCCTAATGAAGGAAATTCCAAGATATTCAACAAAATTATAATTTATCTCTTACTATTCCCAACCCTTGTGAGTACAACATATACAACTCACTAATGGGTCATATAATCAAGTGAGTGGGTCACAACTGGTATTTTTATAGAATTAGGATAGACTAATTTAAAAATAGAGTACAGGCAAGTCCATTGAAACAGTAAAGTATTATCTTTAAACTTGTTTCAGTTTTATGTGTGCCCTCAGGCATGATATAACTTCTTCTATCATGAGTTCTAGATGGAAGATAAAAATATAGAAATATAGATTATATATAAAACTTCTTTTCTGTTGTGAGTAAATAGGTCTGAATCCCTAAATTTCTGAACCTATATCAGATTTCAGTGCTAGCAAAACGAAAAACCTGGATTCATTTCTTTGGCCCGGGTAACGTCCAGTCTGGGACCTTATAACTAGAGGCCTGGTGCAAAGATTTGTACACTGGTGGGGTTCCTTAGCCTGGCCTGCACCCTGTTGAAATCTGAGACCCCTCAGGGGATGTCGGACTGCTGGTTTCAGCCTGATCTCCAGCAGTCTGTCATCTTCTGAAGGATGTAATAGTGCACAAAATGGCAGGTGGCCAGGGAGGAGCCCGAGCCTGGGCACCTGGCTACTCCAGCTAATCCCTGCCGGGCTGTGCCTGTTGCTGGAGTGCACTGACCATCACGGGGAAGCTCCTGCATTGAGCATCTGCCCCCTGGTCACTTAGGCTTTTGTATATACAGATATTTATGACTTTGTGTTGTTGGGTTTTTTTAAATTAATTTTTTATTAAGGTATTATATGTGTACATATCTTACCATTGCCCCCCCCACTCCCATACATGCCCTTACCCCCAATGTTTTACATCCATTAGTTATTCTTAATGCATGCATATAAATCCTTCAGTTGATCTCTTTTCTTTCCCACCTCTCCCTAACCTTCCTGCTGTAATTTGACAGTCTGTTTGATGCTTTACTGCCTCTGTATCTATCTTTTGGTTCATCAGTTTATAATTTTTTTTATTGTGTTGTTTTTCTATCAGAAATACTATAAGATAAAATAAAACTGTCTCCTTAAAGATTTCTTTCAAAGAACATAAATTCTAGATAAGTATTTATATGGTGATAGCTCATGGAAAAGGGGGTGAATTGAGGAATATGCAGAGAAGCAGTATTCTGCCCTGAAATACTCAACCCCTTTGCCCTCACTGCTTCTCTTTGTTTCTGTGAGTGGCTGGACTGGAATATGGCTATAGAGAAAGGAAACAGGGCCAGATTAGCCTACACCCCAGAGGTCCCATAGTCTCCGGAATGATTCAGGTCAGTGGTTTTTTAAATATCCTGTAGGACTGAAAGAAACCTGGATTCCTCTTATCAAGAGTTGCTCTAAAAGGAGAAAGTTTATACTGAGCAGTAAAGATAAAAATGCTCTATTGTCATAGCTGATTTATTCTTCTGTCTGGAATTTTTTTTTAATGAAGTAAGCAGTTATCAGGGGAAATTCCTTTATAATGCTTTATTTTTGTTTTTCCCCTACTACAATAATCAATAACTCTTGTGTACTTTATTAAAATGCTATTCTCACTAACTTTAAATCTGACATTTAGACTCTGAAGTTAAAAGAAAGTCAAACCAAATTATGTGAATTTGCTGACCCCTGGTGGGTAAAATAGATTATGACTATAAGCTTTCTACAGTGGAGGATCATTCTAGCTAGGATATTTGCTATTAGATATTAACACTGCTGTGCTAATTTTTTAATTGAAACAAGTTGTTCTAGGAAGTGCTATTATTTAGGGTTTTAAATACAGTTTTATTTATTTATCCCAATAGATTCCACCTTAAGACCTGGACCATTTTTATTCCTCTTCCTCCTGCCTGTACTTTTCAATGATCACCTACAAGGCATTGTTGACTAACACAGGCATTTCTCCTCCCCTCCCTTCACTTCGCTTCTCACTGAGCATCATAAAATTACCAACATGTAAACACTCCTGTATATAAACATATGAGCAGACTGATATCCAATTACATCAGTTATAAACAGCAAAATCAAGGTTTTTGGTAAAGATAATTTTCATTTTCAGTAAGCATTGCTAGAAGGTCACCAATCCACTGTACTTATTAGCAAGTTCTCTGACTTTGTGTAAATTATTTATTTTTCTGGTGCTCAGTTTTTATCATCTGTAAAAATAGGGACTTAAACAGTGTCTGGCACATAATTAACTTAGATTATGTAAATTGTATTATTATCTATTAGGACAATAAAAATAATAGAAATTATTCCTGAAGTCTAATGCTTAATCAAAGTCCAACTGAGAAAGGGGTATCTCTGGAAGATTATCTGATGGGCATGTAGTTTAACTTATTTGTTTCTCTATAATACAGACAAAGGAAAAAAAGACATTCTAGGTCAAGGACTACAAGAGCATATTCATGAAAATAGGAAAGTGACATTTGTTTGGGTTAGTGGGGAAAGAGAGGCAAACAAAGAAAAGCAATGGTGGAATATTTACTCCGTGTTGGCCACTGTGCTAGGCAATTTCACTTACTGGGAGGGGTAAAAATAATACTCAGAGGAGAAAAATGCTCAGAAAATGTTTTCTGATTTATTTTTTTTTTCACTCCAGCAACTACAGAACCATTAACAGATGCACCTAGTAAGTTTTCCTGTACTTATTTCCTTGCTTTCATATTGGGATTGGAAGGATTGATACTGAAGTCTGTAAAAGAGAGGTTGGTGGGCACTCTGAGTTCATGTGGAGCTCCATTGTCTATCTTAGATGCCACCGATGCTGTAAGCATGCCCAAACGTTTTCCCTCCTCCATTTTCTTCCTTGAAAGCCCCTTACATTTACCCCCACAGTCCACATTCTTTCACCTCAATCTTTCTTGCCTCCTTTTAGACCCTCATCCCTTATCCTGCTCCCCTTTCCACTTTTCCTACTTGCATTTTTACATTCTCTGTGTTTTTACTATTGCAGGTTTGCTAGTTGGACCCTCTGCAGGTCAAACAGGTAACTTTTACTACACCTCTTTTCCCAGGACCTCCTCCATATCCATCTCTTGCTTACACTCTCCTCTGTACATCTCCTATCTCACTCAGAAAATGCCCACTAATCCTAGCAGAAAGCTTTTTCCTATCCATGTGACAATGGAGAAAATAAAATGAAAAAGACAGAATTAGAAATTATCTCAGTACTTTAGCCAAGTTGTGGCACAACTGAACAGAACTCCAAAGTTTTGGCTTCCAAAGGACCACTTCCTTCACCCTAATGAAGGAAATTCCAAGATATTCAACAAAATTATAATTTATCTCTTACTATTCCCAACCCTTGTGAGTACAATAGTATACAAATCACTAATGGGTCATAAAATCAAGTGAGTGGGTCACAACTGGTATTTTTATAGAATTAGGATAGACTAAAATAAAAATAGAGTACAGGCAAGTACATTAAAACAGTAAAGTATAATCTTTAAATTTGATTCAGTTTTATGTGTACACCGGGGCATGATATAATTTCTTGTATCGTGAGTTCTGGATGGAAGATAAAAATATAGAAATAAAAACTTCTCTTTTCTGTTGTGAGTAAATAGGTCTGAATCCCTAAATTTCTGAACCTATATCAGATTTCAGTGCCAGCAAAACAAAAAATCTGGGTTCATTTATTTGGCCCGGGTAAGGTCCAGTCTTGGACCTTATCTTATAACTAGAGGACTAGTGCACGGATTTGTGCACTGGTGGAGTCCCTCAGCCTGGCCTGCACTGGGGACCCCTCAGGGGATGTCGGACTGCTGGTTTCAGCCTGATCTCCAGCAGTCTGACATCTTCTGAGGGATGTAGTAGTGCGCAAAATGGCAGGTGGCCAGGGAGGAGCCCGAGGCTCATCCCAGGCCAACTGTTCCTGCTATGTGAATGCACTGACCATCATGGGGCAACTCCTGCGTTGAGCACCTGCTCCCTGGTGGTCAGTGCATGTCATAGTGACCCGTTAATAGGTCAACAGGTTGAACAGTAGAGCCACTTAGGTTTTATAATATATAGATAGATATTTATGACTTTGTGTTGTTTTTCTATCAGAAATGTTATAAGATGAAAATGTCTCCTTAAAGATTTCTTTCAGAGAACATAAATTCTAGATAAGTATTTATACGGTGATAGCTCATGGAAAAGGGGGTGAATTGAGGAATATGCAGAGAATCAGTATTCTGCCCTGAAATCCTCAGGCAGCTGGGATACACTCTCAACTCCCTTGCCCTCACTGCTTCTCTTTGTTTCTGTGAGTGGCTGGACTGGGATATGGCTATAGAGAAAGGAAACAGGGCCAGATTGGGCTACACCCAAGAGGTTCCACTCCCCTCATAGTCTCTGGAATGATATCCTGTAGAACTAAAAGAAACCTGGATTCCTCTTATCAAGAGTTGCTCTAAAAGGAGAAAGTTTATACTGAGCAGTAAAGATAAAAATGCTCTATTGTCATAGCTGATTTATTCTTCTGTCTGGAATTTTTTTTTTAATGAAGTAAGCAGTTATCAGGGGAAATTCCTTTATAATGCTTTATTTTTGTTTTTCCTCTGCTACAATAATCAATAACTCTGGTGTACTTTATTAAAATGCTATTCTCACTAACTTTAAATCTGACATTTAGACTCTGAAGTTAAAAGAAAGTCAAACCAAATTATGTGAATTTGCTGACCCCTGGTGGGTAAAATAGATTATGACTATAAGCTTTCTACAGTGAAGGATCATTCTATAATAGCTAGGATATTTGCTATTAGATATTAACACTGCTGTGTTAATTTTTTAATCGAAACAAGTTGTTCTAGGAAGTGCTATTATTTAGGGTTTTAAATACAGTTTTCTTTATTTATCCCAATAGATTCCACCTTAAGACCTGGACCATTTTTATTCCTCTTCCTCCCGCCTGTACTTTTCAATGATCACCTACGAGGTGTTGTCGAATAACACAGGCATTTCCCCTCCCCTCCCTTCACCTTGCTTCTCACTGAGCATCATAAAATTACCAACATGTAAACACTCTTGTATATAAGCATATGAGAAGATTATACCCAATTACATCAAAGTTATAAAAAAACAAACAAACAGCAAAATCAGTGTCTTTGGTAAAGATAAACAGTGACTTGAACAGTGCCTGGCATATAGTTAACTTAGATTATGTAAATGTATTATCATCTGTTAGGACAATAAAAATAATAGAAATTATTCCTGAAGTCTAATGCTTAATCAAAGTCCAACTGAGAAAGGGGTGTCTCTGGAAGATTATCTGATGCGCATGTAGTTTAAGTTATTCATTCCTTTATAATATAGACAAAGGAAAAAAGATATTCTAGGTCAAGGACTACAAGAGTATATTCATGAAAATAGGAAAGTGACATTTGTTTGGGTTAGTAGGGAAAGGACTTAGGCTGGGAAGCAAAGAAAAGCAATTGTGGAATACTTACTCTGTGTTGGCCACTGTGCTAGGCAATTTCACTTTCTGGGAGGGGTAAAAATGTTTTCTGGTTTTTTATTTAGCTCCAGTAACTATAGAAACATTCACAGAAGATCCTAGTAAGTTTTCCTTTGTTTATTTCTTTGCTTTTATATTGGGGATAGAAGGATTGATTCTGTCATCTGTACAAAGAAAGCCTAAAAGAGAGGTTGGTGGGCACTCTGAGTTCATGCGAGCTCCATTTCTATCTTAAATGCCACCAATGCTGTAAGCACGCCCAAACGTTTTCTCTCGTCCATTTCCTGCTATAAAAGTCCCTTACATTTGTCCCCACAGTCCACATTCTTTCACCTCAATCTTTGTTGCCTCCTTTTAGACCATCATCCCTTATCCTGCTTTCCTTTCTACTTTTCCTGCTTGCATTTTTCATTCTCTGTGTTACCTTGGCAGATTTGGTAAATGAACCCTCTACAGATGAAACAGGTAACTTTTACTACAGCTTTATAAAAATGGCATGATTCTCACAGTATTTATTCCAGTTCTTCAGTGAATCCTATATATATATATTTATCTCTGGGAAAGGCATAGAGAAATTGTGGGCATGTTGTTCAGTGACAGTGGGGTAGAAAGAGGTGGATTAATAGTTCAAATAAGTCATGGATGATAAAGGCTCCCCAAATTAGTATAATGCCAATAGGACAAATATTTTTCAAAAATATTCACAATTACTTCAATTAACTCTCTTTCATTGGACATAATACACAAACTCAGCCAGAGCCTTGACCTTGACCTAGTATTTCCATTATCCTTAATTCTGCCTTCCCCCTTGCCAACTCAAAGCCCTCCTCCTCACACCTGCTGTTTTGTGCCTTTTCAGTTCTGGCTGATATCGTGCCTTCCACAGATGACCTGGGTGAGTTCAGATCTGGGATCCCAGGGCCACCGGGGCCGTTCTGGGCTCTCCCCAGAGCCTATGATGGAAGGCATTACAGCTGGTGAAGGATCCTAACTAAACAGGGTTACAGTGTATTCAGTTTAATGACCTTTTTTTTTTTTATATCCTCTAATAAGCATAACTATGGCAAGTGTTTGATGTACAAAACCCCAACCCATGATCTTTTAATGTTTCTAAGACTAAATGAGTAAAACAAAATGTACAAACCAAGAAATGTATGGGAAGATAAAGAAGAACTTTCTAGAAGTAATGGTCACACTAAATCTTGAAAGAAGAATTGGAGCAAGCCAGTCAATTATGGGACGGGCGTGCATTCCAACCAAAAGAAATAGCTGTTCAAACATGTGAAAGCAAAAGAAACTTGGCACACTGGAAAAACAGATTTTTTTTTAATTTATTTATTTTTAGTGATTAGGGTCAAACCCACAAAGAATAAGTGGTAGGACATGAGAAAAGTAGATTGCAGCTAACATTATTTTAAGCAAATATTTACTGAAAACCTGCTATGTAGGTGCCAGGGATATAAAGGTAAACAAAACTAATTTTCTTCTACTAGATATTTTTTGTCTAATAGACAAGACAGACAAATGAACAGATAAAAAAGAGCCCTTGACTCTATTCAGTGTTGGGAGTGAAGAAAGGCTTTTCTAGAGAGCACATTGTCTAAAATGCTTCTTGGCCAAAACCAGTTTGGCTCAGTGGATAGAAAGTCCATCTGTGGACTGAAAGGTCCCAGGTACGATTCCGGTCCAGGGCATGTACATTGGTTGTGGTCACATCCTCAGTAGGGGGTGTGCAGGAGGCAGCTGGTTGATGTTTCTCTCTCATCGATGTTTCTAGCTCTCTATCCCTTTCTCCATTTCTCTCTGTAAAAAATCAATAAAATGTACTTAAAAAATAAAATGCTTCTTAGAAGACAAGTAGAAGTGAATCAAGTGAATAGAATGGGAAGATGTAATGAAAATAAAGTGGGCATAGGCTTAGGGTGGAAACAAAAACCAATCAGAGTATAGTTCATGCAAAGAAAGGTTCAAATCAGACTGATGGATTGGAAAACCAATGAGGATGACATTGCGGTAGTCCAAATACTGATGTGTTAAAAGATGGTGGCCTGACTGGGTGGGCGTGGCTTAGTGGTTGAGCTTCAATCTATCATATAAACCAGGATGTCATGATGATTCCCAATTACAAGCTTCTCCCCCAGTAGGAGGCGTGCATTTGATTTCAGAGAGGAAGAGAGAGGGAGAGGGAGAGGAAGTGGGAGAGGGGGAAAGAGAGAGAGAGAGAGAGAGAGAGAGAGAGAGAGAGAGAGAGAGAGAGAGAGAGAGATGATGATGATGAGAATCATGGATCAGCTGCCACTTGCATATCCCATACTGGGGATGAAGCTTGCAACTTGGTCATGTGTTTTTGACTGGAATCCAACCCAGGTCAGTCCACAGGCCGATGCTCTATCCAGTGAGCCAAACTGGCTGGGGCTGAAATCAATAATTTTTTTTTTTTTTTTAAAGATGGTGGGCTGAACTAAGGTAAAGGTAGTGAGAATTGGATGTGAGATGCAAGAGGGAGAAGACTGTTGTCATGATGTTCAACTTTCCATCAGGTAGATGGTGGCTATTGTGTGGATGGCACTACTATTCACTGAAAAACAATTTGAATTGGAAAAAATAATTCCATTTGGGAATGATGGATTTGAAAAACCTATTAAGTCTTTTATAACACAGTGGCTAGATTTATAGGTCTGAAGCTTAGAAGAGATCTGGGCTAGAAGTACAAATTTGAGAATTCTCAGAGTATAAACTTGGAAGTGAAACCATGGGATAGATGAGATCACCTAACACACTTCCTATAATATCCTGTTAGCAACTCTGCCAATCGCATTTTTTACTGATAACTCCCATAGTTAATTCTCTCAAGGCCCATTTTGCTCCTTAATTTGTTCTCCAGTCTTCAAATTAGGCTATGGCCATGAACTTTGCTATTCTTTATTGAATAAATTTTTATCAAACACACATAATAGTGTATCTGTTTTAACAGAGAAGAAATTTTCTTTTTTGAAGAACTTTTACAGCAAAAATCTTTTCTCTTTTTAGCTCTAGGATGGAACTCTTCTGAGCATGTGGCTCTTTGTTGTGTCCCTACTAAATTTGTTTATTATCAATACAAAATCCTCAATATAATAAAATTTTCACCTCCCTAAGAAAAGCAAAAATCATATTTACCATCCTAACTTCTAAATCACTGCAATTGTGTGAATCAAAACAAATCATTATGGGTTTGCTTGTTCCTTAGAAGTTGCTAAAGAGTTAGAGGCACTAGAGGCCTGGTGCACAACATTCCTGCACTGAGGCGGGGGTGTTCCTTAGCCTGGCCTGCACCCTCTTGCAGTCCAGGACCTATGGAGGGATGTCTGCCTGCCACAGAGGTAGGAGAGGCTCCCACCACCTCCGCTGTGCTCACCAGCCATCAGCCCGGCTTCTGGATGAGCAACACTCACCCTGTGGGAGCCACCTAACCAGCAGAGAGTAGCTCCTGCATTGAGCGTCTGCCCCCTGGTGGTCAGTGCGCATCATAGCAACCAGTCTTTTTGTTGTTTGGTTGATTTGCATATTAGGGTTTTATTATATAGGATTTGTTTCTTATCTACATGGTTGCCCCACATGGGTCTCAGATGAGGTAACATGACAGTTACAGAGGTAGTTACTTCTAGAACAAATAATAACTGAATAAAATTTCTGCCTTCCAGTCTCACCCAGTGATAAAAACACCTCAGGTATGACTGTCTTTTTCCTAAGCTTCTTTTTTGTGTGTGCGTCTGTGGGTTGATTCAGAGGATTCCTTATCTCTTTGTTCTTTGGAGAGTATATATATATATCTATCTTCTAGTTTACTTGCAATTTTTTCTCAAAGATTATTTTTAGTGTCCTTAATTCTTCCTCCCACAGCCCCACCCTTGCCTTTTTATATAAGCTTCTGTCCTAAAAGCCATAGTGAAAAGATTTGACCGCCCCTTCATGATCCCGAAGCAATCCTTTGGACTTTATTTGGTTATGGGGTTGGGAACTGACTACAAGTACTCAATACTATTATAGACATCAGGACTAAAATTGCTTTCCCTAATGTAGTGATAATTCTAATGTGCAGCTAGAGTTGAAAACTATGGGGACAGAAAAATGATTACCCATCTTAGAATTTTCATTTTTCAGAATGGGATTATCAGCACTTTTTGTTTGATATATCACCTGTATAATGCTAGGAGAACTTTTTCCTAGAAAACCCCTCAGCGATTATTTTAGCCACATCTATTTCCAGGTAGGAAAGCACCTAAATTTCATTTTAGTCAATTTTCTATCACTCTGCTTTGGTGAGCAGGAAAGAGACGCCCCAACTTACAATGATCTTCTGTAGAGACTACCTTGTATGCTTTTCCCAATTTTTCTCTCAAATTTTATCTTTCTTGTTGTATTACAGATGTCCCCCCATTGTTTGTGTGTGTTTTTTTCCTCTTCGATCTCTTTAATCCTTTGTTTATAACTCTCATGTTTGTTATACCTCTCCCCATTTTTTTGTGTGGGTTTCTTCAGAGTGCCGGGATGAAAAATTTGCTTGCACAAGACTCTACTCTGTGCATCGGCCAATCAAGCAGTGCGTTCATCAGTCATGCTTTACCAGGTAAGGGGCACTAGAATACCCAGAAAGCATCTTCCATGATAGTGTTTTCATGTCAGCAACTATTTAACGAGCTCCCACTATGGAATTTGTTTTTGGACAGACAGAAGATTTTAGCATAATCCTCTAGCTCTCACTGACAGTACCAAATAGAACCTGGAGTCTGGACTGAGCTATTCAGAGAACTAGCTGACTAACAAGTCTAGATGCTAGAGGGCAAATAAAAGTAAGGGCTGGAGGAAGGATAGTCATGAGGTAAACACAAGTATGTTGAATTTACTACCTCATAGAAAAAGGCTGAAATGAAAGATTCAAGTATGAAGTTAGAAAATAGTGGGGAGGAGTTAGTATTAAGCTTGATTCTAGGGAGAGTATGCAAAGTGTTGCTAAGAAGAATAATATTTTCTGAAATACTTTAAAAAAAAACCACACAGGTAAGAGTGGGGAATACAGCCATTGAAAAGGCATCCTAGGCAAGTTCTCCCTCTCAACACCTCTTTCCGTCTCCTTCTTTAACCATGACTTTGGGACTACGGCAGTGTACGACGCATGTACATCATCAATAATGAGATTTGCTCCCGTCTTGTCTGTAAAGAACATGAAGCTATGAAAGGTAAGATGGATGTCTATGTTTGTAGTGGGGGGAGATAAGGAAGGACACAATGCTAATGGATCCCAGGTCTGGCTTTGGTGGAGGGCTGTAGGCCACCCTTTTAAGTCACATCAGTCCCTTCTCTTCCAAGTTACTCCAAAGTGAGGAATCTAAGCAAAGCAGCATGCTTATTACATAAACATAAACATAAACATAAACATAAACATAAACATAAACATAAACATACAAAAAGCACCCCCCAGATCTCTTTCCAATTAAGATGGTAACTCCAAATCTCTCCTGTATATAGTCAGAGCTCTGGCTGCTTTCAAGCTCATTCACTGGGGTTCTAGGTAAAAAGGCCAAGCCAATCATTACAAATAGTAGATTCTATTAGTCTGCAGGCAGGTTTGTAACTACAAAAAAAAAAAAAAAAACTGCACAAAACATTAATTTGGAGACAGTAATGTTTGGGTAGGCCTTTAATTAAATCAGAAATAGATTGGACATTTAGAAACTGGCTACCTTATAAACAGTCCACTGCTTTACCCTTTATATTGCTCATTGTGAAATTTCTGAGGTAGAGGAAAGTAGAAAGACTTCATAAAAACAATTAAAAGGGTCGAAAGTGAGTGACCATGTATGATGGGAACAAAGACTCTTCTCATCTTCCCCATCGCCTGCCCCCAAAGGTGGCTGTGGTTGGCGAGCGCACCACAGACAAGCCACTTCTGACTAAGCAGCCCGCCTTGTGCGGAGCTCCTGACTCAGAGCTGTACTGAATTTCGGAGAAGGAAACTTGCTGCCTGTCCCCACTGGCTCTGTGCAAGCCACCTGCAAGGGAAGCACCTTGAGATTGAGGTTGAGTATTTGGGACTCTAGGCACTTTCAAGGGTCTCCGGGGACTTAGTCAAGTCAGCTATTTGCAGGTAGTAAACACTTAGGTATCTATTGAGTGATTGAAGCTCATTTTTTTGGTTATTCAAAAGTCCATGATTAGAAAAAGTGGGAGCTAGGTGTAGAAAGGAAACTACCATTTACTGACCACCTGTGCTAGGTACTTTGCATACATTATTCCATTTTAATACAACTAAACTGTTGAGGCAGGTATTTTAATGCTTTATTTTATAGAAAGGATATTGAAGATCAGAAAAATTAAGAAACTTTCTAATGAGTCTCTAGTGGCAAATAAGTGGAAGAGCTGTGATGCTAACTCAGTTCTATTCCTCCCCAGCCTTTCACTCCATCACGCTTTCCCTTAAAACATCAGTTTAAGGTCTTCCCTTTCCAAAACATCAGTCCTTGCCAAAACCGGTTTTGCTCAGTGGATAGAGCATCCACCTGGGGACTGAAGGGTCCCAGGTTCGATTCCAGTCAAGGGCCTGTACCTTGGTTGTGGGCACATCTCCAGTAGGGGTTGTGCAAGAGGCAACTGATGGACAATTCTCCCTCATCGATGTTTCTAACTCTCTATCCCTCTCTCTTCCTCTCTATAAAAAATCAATGAAGTATATTAAAAAAAAAATCAGCCCTTTATCTACCCGCATTCTAATACCATCATGCTCTGCTTCTTTTCTAGATGAGCTTTGCCGCCAGATGGCTGGTCTGCCCCCAAGGCGACTTCGGCGTTCCAACTACTTCCGACTCCCTCCATGTGAAAATGTAAATTTGCAGAGACCCAATGGTGTGTGATCATCAAGGAAAAGGAAAAAAGAAAAAAGAAATGTATGGGTGGGATGAAGAGAATGCTCTAGGAAGAGGGAACTCCTTGTCTAACATTGGCAGCAAACCCATACATTAGTATTTCTTAGACCAAACCCTTCTCAATGTTTAATTTTTGCTTTACTCCCTGATGTTTCACCCAGACTGAAACATTGACCTTATTTTTGGTACTTACAAAACAAGGTCTATATTATCGCATAGTTTTACTGCTTCCCAATATCATAGACATAGTAGATAAAATGACCAGGCAGTTTAAATGTAACTTCAAGGGAAAGTAAACTTAAGGTTAATAATATGTATTATTGAAGTTGTCTGAGAGAGTTCTTAGGGTGGAAGAAATTATCATGGTCTATTTGGGCTAGCATAGAACTTCATTTACTTTCCTTACAAGAGTTTCCTATATTAACTACCCTTTTGTTTATAAAGTAGTCCTCTTTACTCTTATTTTAATTATTTTGCTGACTATCATAACATTTACTTGGTAGGTTCTCTTTATTAAAAAGATCATGACAATTTTTGTAATCCTAGAAAATTCTCCAGAGCCAATATTTATACAATTCTACTAACAATATATAAAGACCCCAAATGTTGCCTTCTGCTAAGCTCAGAGGCTAAGGCTAAAGAGGAGTATGCCAGGTATAGAACTTGGACCCATAATTCCCTATTCAACTGTTGATATGGTTGTCTAGTCTGCAAATAGGGCTTGAAAGTAAATCTCATTTTCTTACTCATTTTTGGTAGAATTGGTGTTAGTCCACCTCCACATGTGAATTAGATGACTAATGTCAAACCATGTCACTGGTCTGAGTTTTTGTGAGTGTTGCTACTTCCGTTCTCACCTCTTAACAAAATCTGCAGGTATTATTATTCAAATAGGTTCCAGAATAGTCTAATTTGGGGCCTAAGAAGGGCATTTAGACCTGAACTTTGACAAGCAGGCACAAAGTTTATCTAATGGTTTATAGAAAAAGACTAAAAGAAGCACAATAATAGGCAACCCACACCCTTATCCTGATTCTATGTCATATTTCCTTACTAGGCCCTGGTTTAATTCCCCTACTTTTAACAGAAGGTTTAATGTACATTAGTTTCTTTTAATTCTATGATTCTCAAAATTTAAATGTGTTGTTAATATTTCTTGAAACCTAGAGATTCAATATAACTCACAACAAACATGTTTGCTTTATAAAGGGAGGGGGGAATAGCCTGTATTAAATAAATGGACAATAGTCCATAGTATAATAGAACAAAATTTCACTACAAGTGACAAATTACATATTATGGGCCTTCTATCTGAATAACTTCTGAGTAACCTTCTTAAAAAGCCAATAGAATTCAAGTAGGAGCTAGAGGAACCTGAGATAACAGTTATATATAATAGAACACCACTTGTAGGGAGTGAATTTCTGTCCTATTTCTGAGAAAACTACCTGAGGATTGGATTCTTGCTGTTGAGCCATTTAGTTTAATGGGATTTGCACAATTTACTAAAGAAAAATGTTAGAAAAGGCCCCAAAGCATCTAATCTCTGCTCCACAGCCTCTACAAGTAAATGTTTTGACATATAGACAGACATATTAAATGCTTATTGTAGCTGCTGTAGAGAAATCTCCTGGGCACAGAGTTTCCAAGACTCGTGTCAAAATGTCTTCATGAACTTGACCCTCCTACAGCATACTGAACGAGAGGTAGCATTTCCCACCAGAAAGCACCTCAATCCCAGTCGGTGTATATTGCAAATTAAACATTTTAAAACAATTGTTCCCAAGTTTCTTCTCAGAAGAGAGAAGTGTGTGTGCGTGTGCGTGTGTGTTGTTATTTCTTTTCCTATTTTACGTTTAAAAAGGCCTGAATCCATGATTTTATTCCATTTTGAAAACTAAATAACAATGTTGCTCCATTTTCTCTATTCCACTATCCTCTTTGTATCCTTCTTCACTCCATAACTTTACTGTTGGGTCCTCCAACATCCCAAATTTACGTCTTTTCCTCCTCACGCCCTTCCTCAGTTCACTGGAAAATTCTTTCTTATCTGCCCTTTTCAGGACTTGCAAGGTGAAGTTTTGATGCTTTATTTTCACTTCTCTTTTGCATGATCCATAATCAAATTCCTGTGTTTTGCCGCTTCTCATTTTTCTTATGTTCCCTACCTATTTTCCTCTTCTTGGTAAGTAAACCAACTTGTCTAACTCACTTCCCAGCCTTTTTCCTCCTTTTTATAAAATACTCTTCTCCCTTATAGCTTGCCCCTAAAAATGGCCCCAGGTCAAAGCTTCTGAGGAGTTGTTTTTGGTACCACTTCTTAACCTCTATACTCTCTTCTCCATGGGCAGAATCCCATTCACCTCCTTTCCATTTTTTGTTTGTTTGTAGGGTGTGTTGTTTTTTTAAGCCTTGACCCATTGTGAAACAGGCTAATAAGCCAGAACAATCGGAATAGGGAATCTGAGACAGAGTTAAATAGTAGTTTGCAGCCACCTAGAAAATCTAGATGCCATGCAGTTTGTAGCCATTTAGTAAATCCTATCTTCCATAAGCCAGGGACACTTTAAAAATGAATGGTTTGCACTTCTCCTTCCCAATCAAAGGGTAATGACCTAAATCACCCTATTCAGGGAGGCGGATAGCAGAAATCCAATTGGTGCCATTTCCCAATATCTGTCCATTTTCCAAGGACAGACGAAGAGAATAAACCTTGTTTTAGTACATCAATATAAAGTTGATGAATATTTTACTGAGATCTCCCTTTAAGAACTCTGTCCTAGCCGAAACCAGTTTGACTCAGTGGATAGAGCGTCGGCCTGTGTACTGAAAGGTCCCAGGTTCGATTCCATTCAAGGGCATGTATCTTGGGTTTGAGCACATCCCCAGTAGGGGGTGTGCAAGAGGCAGCTGATTGATGATTCTCTCTCACTGATGTTTCTAACTCTTCTATCCCTCTCTCTTCCTCTCTGTAAAAAATCAATAAAATATATTTTAAAAGAAAGAAAAAGAACTCTGTCCTAGCCAAAACCAGTTTGGCTCAGTGGATAGAGCGTCGGCCTGTGTACTGAAAGGTCCCAGGTTCGATTCCGGTCAAGGGCATGTACCTTGGGTTTGGGCACATCCCCAGTAGGGGGTATGCAAAAGGCAGCTGTTTGATGATTCTCATCAATGTTTCTAACTCTCTATCCCTCTCTCTTCCTCTCTGTTAAAAAAAAAAAATTCAATAAAAAAGAACTCTGTCCTAGCTGGTTTGGCTCAGTGGAAAAAGAGTTGGCCCTGAAGACTGAAGGGTCCCAGGTTCAATTCCCGTCAAGAGCACATGCCTAGGTTACAGGCTCAGTCCCCAGTTCGGGGTGTGCAAGAGGCAGCGGATCAATGATTTTCTCTCTTCATTGATGTTTCTATTTCTCTCTCCCTTCTTCTCTGAAATCAATAAAAATATACTAACACGCGCACGCGCACACACTCACACACACACACACACACACACACACAGAGCCTTTAATTAATTTATTCATTTTAATATATTTTATTGATTTTTCACAGTGGGAACCTACCAGCTGGCCCCAGGCAGACCCTCTCAAGGCCAGGTTCCATTTCCAGTAAAAATTGCAGGTTCCCAATGGTCTAGTTTTTACCCCTTGCTCTTCCCACAAAAGGATTTGAAAACCTTTTATTCTTTAAAGTATTAATGGGCCATAATTGGTTTGGCTCAGTGGATAGAGCATCAGCCTGCGGACTGAAAGGTCCCAGGTTCAATTCCAGTCAAGGGCATGTACCTTGGTTGCAGGCATAATCCTGTGGGAAGTGTGCAGGAGGCAGCTGATCGATGTTTCTAACTCTCTCTCTCCCTTTCTCTCTGTAAAAAAAAATCTAATAAAATATATTTTAAAAATAAATAAATAATAAATAAGAGGTATTAATGGTATCCTTTTTTTCTGGTCAACGCAAATGACAGTCTTCTTAAGCAAGGAACTTAAATTTTGATGAGAAAGAATTATGTGAACCAAAACAGTGGATTTTTAATGTTGGATTTAAAGTGTTTGGCTCAAAGTTAGGCAATTGGAATGCCTTCCTGAGACCTTGAAGAGAGAGCAGGCTTATCTGCCTACTATAAGATTCACCCTTATTTTCTCTTCCAAAATTGAATAGATCCTGCTGTGAGTCTAACTTTTTCCATCTTTCATGCTTATAACAGAAGAAAGTTCTCCTTGAATGAACAAGTAAGTTCTGGAAATTCAAGCGTGCTCTGCACTCTCTAAATATAGCTCCATGCACACTTTCTCTGAGTATTCTTTTGACTTACAGGCAGGTGGTGCAAAGCCCAGCTGGTCTCCGACTTCTGGACCTTATTTGTGATGACATCAAGCAGTATATTCTGCTAGTCACAAGCTCCACCCTCCTTTGCTTTCCGTGCTGTGGCAAAAAGTTGAATGTTTGACCAAATACTTTACACCTGGTCAGAAGGTGCAAGCGATTTGCACCTCTAAGATTCTCCCTTCCTTCTGTACTGCTATAACACAGTGAAGAAAGAAATCAAAGAAACAGAAAAGAAGATAGCAGAGCAAGGATACGGAGATGGGAGAGTGGTGACAGATGGCCCTCAGGGCAGGGGAACCAGGAGGCTACAAGTCGGGAATTCACAAATCTGTGTGGGAGCAGGGAATTTGGAAAGTGTGGTGAAGGGATCTGAGAGATTTGGAACCTTATGGGGGAGGATGGGAGGATATTGGGAGCACAAAGGAGAGAGGCGTGGCTGTCCTTATAGTTCTGTCAATTCAGGGAGGCAAAGATTTGGTTAAAGATGCAACATCCCAATAAAAATTGAAATCCTTATATCTTTTAGTGTTTTCACCAGCCAAACATCAGTGAAAGTGACTTGTTGCATTTCTCGGTGGAGGAGAAACAGGTGGCCACAGTGTGTGTGTGTGTGTGTGTGTGTGTGTGTGTGTGTGTGTGTGTGTGTGTTTTCTAAAGCCAGTCAAGCAAAACCAGAGGCATCAGTCAAATGATAACTTCTGGGCAGAACCTAAGTTGAAAAAACAAAATGTTTATATAAATAGAGGTGCAAAGCTTATATCTTCCTGTTGACAAACCGAGCTTCACTTCACTTCAAACCATCAAATTTTTTTAAAAAATAGCTTCTCCCCTCCACCCACCCCCACCCAATTTGTGCAATCACTCAGTAAGGTTCTAGTATTTTCCTAACCCAGGGGTCCTGGAATTTTTTCTTTCTCTCCTGTTTTTCTCTCTCATTACCCTTTTCCTTTGTTTTGTTTGTTTACTTAGCCATACATCTACTAATGTACTGTGTGGCTTCATGGAGTACTTTATTAAATTTATAAAATAATCCATAAAGATTGAATTCAGAATGATCTCAAATTTGTGGGAGACTCACCTTTCCCAATAACCCCTTAAAAAAGATAATGATGAGCTTTGAGCAAACATATGGAATTATTATAATGGAAACAACATGAATTATATCTAAGGGATTGATGACCATTGAGGAATCAACCTACATCACTGTCATTATATAGTAATCCCTAATATTTTGTTCTGTCTCAAATGGTCAAAGCCAGGAGTTACAATGAAGGGTAAATAAGAACTGCACAGAAAAACATTGCTTCCATTTGTATAAAATTACATCCATGTATGTATTCCTCCACTCTTGAAAATAGATGAGATTTTGGAGGAGAAGGGAGATAAAGTAATATTAATACAAATAAACTTATGAAATGTGTAATATTAACATCAAAGTCAATAGGTATTGAAAACAGGAATTACTATAAAAATTTTTCAGATAAAATTATGAATGACAGTTGCTTAATTAATTTAGAGAAACCAATTTCTTTGTTGAAAAGTAACCTCTAATTTTATAAGGTTAAACCACTATATGCTCTTTTATATTGCCTTTATCTTAGAGAAACTGAGATAAATCTGACATTCAATATAATAAAAGCCCAGTGACCGAATGGCGGAATGACCTAAAGGACCACTGAACCAATCACTATGAGGCACACTGACCACTAGGAGGCAAACACTTAACACAGGAGTTGATCCCAGGTGGTCAGTGCACACCCACAGTGGGGATGAGCAACTGCTCCCACAGGCCATGCCCCTCCAAGTGCACCAATCCCGTGCACTGGGCCTCTAGGAGTATAATAATTGATCACTAAGATATAATTCATAAATACAACTATAAATTAAATCATAAAGCATAATTCATAAGAATTACTATATGTTCTAATAACATAGAGCAGGGATAATTTCTCTCTTGACATATAGAAACTAAAAAATATTGTATCTGGAGAATCCGGGGAGAATCCAAGATGGCTGCACAGGTAAACACCTAGCTGCAGCCGCACACAACAATTAAATTAAAATACAACTAAAATATAAAATGGACATTACCCAGAACTACAGGAAATCGACTGACTGGAAATTCTACAATGAGAAGCAAGGAAAAAACCAGAAGGAAGAGGGGAAGAGCTGTAAAAGCCTAAGGTACGGAGACACGCGGTGCGCGGAGAGGACAGAGCCAGAAAGAAGGGGCGGTTGAGTGCCTGGCATTCCCTAGCGGGAAGGAAATAAAAGCTCTGACTGTGCTGAACCCCAGACCCGACAGCGCTGAACCCCAGTTCTAGGCCAGACCCTGGGGACCCAGGCCCAAACGAGGGAGCCGGGATTGTGAAGCGGAATCCCAGGGGAGCGGCGAAAGGTAGAGCCCCCGGAGGCGCACAGGTTACGCACAGAGGACGGACTGTAGACTCCGCTGCCAAA